GACAGAGCAAGACTGTGTCAAAAATTAAATTGAAAAAGAGACAGGGTTGCTGCGTTGGCCAGGCCTAAGTACAGTGGCCAATCATAGCTCACTATAGCCTTTGTAGTGTGTGACTACAGGCAGGCACACACCACCATACATGGCTAATATCTGTATTTTTGTAGAGATAAGGTTTCACCATGTTGGCAAGGCTGGTCTCAAACTCCTGACCTCAAGTGATACTTCCACCTTGGCCTCCCAAAGTGCTGGGATTACAGGTGTGAGCCACTGTACCTGGCCTGCAAACCTGTCCCTTAAAAGAAAGTAAATGAGGCTGGGCACAGTGGCCCACACCTGTAATCCCCGCACTTTGGGAGGCCAAGGTGGAAGTATCACTTGAGGTCAGGAGTTTGAGACCAGCTGGCCAACATGGTGAAACCCTGTCTCTACTAAAAATACAAAAAATTAGCTGGGTATGGTGGTGGGTGCATGTAATTCCAGCTACTTGGGAGGTTGAGGCAGGAGAATCGCTTGAACCCGGGAGGTGGAGGTTGCAGTGAGCCAAGATTGTGCCACTGCACTCCAGCCTAGGTAACAAGAATGAAATTCCATCTGAAAAAAAATATTTTTAAAGAGAAAAAAGCATGAGTTACCATATGACCCAGCAATTCCATTCCTACACAAATGCCCAAATGAATTAGAAACGTAGGTCTACAAAAACTTCTATATGATATCCCTAGCAGCATTATTCACAATAGCCCCAAAGTAGCAATCACCCAAATGTACATCAACTGATAGGTAAATAAGATGTGATTTATCCAATGTGATATATCCATACAATGGAATGTTATTTGGCAATACAAGTTATCAAATACATATGATGTGGATGAACCTTGAAAACATGCTAAGTGAAAGAAGCCAGTTTCACTCCATTTAGATGAAATATTCAGAAAAGTTCTACAGAGACAGCAAGTAGTGATTATCTAGGGATGTTGGGAGGAGGAAATAGAGAGTCAACTGCTAATGGGCATGGAACTTTTTTGGGGTGATGAAAATATTCAGAGGCTAGGCAGTGTGGCTCATCGTATAATCCCAGCACTTTGGGAGGCCAAAGCAGGCAGATCACTTGAGGTCAAGAGTTCAAGACCAGCCTAGGCAAAATGGCAAAATCCTGTCTCTACCAAAAACACAAAAAAATAGCCAGGCATGGTGTGTGCCTGTGGTCCTAGCTATTTGGGAGGCTGACGATTGCTTGAGCCTGGGAGGTAGACGCTGCAGTGAACAATGAACTGAGGTCATACCGCTGCAGTCTAGCCTGGGTGACACAGAGAGACCCCATCTCAGAAAAAAAAAAAAAAAAAAAATTCCAGAATTTGAAGTGAGTTGCAAAATGTTGTGAATGTACTAAAATCACTGCAGTATATGCTTTAAAATGGTGAATTTTGGCTGTGTGTGCAGTGCCAGCACTTTGGGAAGCCAGGGTAGGAGGACTGTTTCATGCCTAGGAGTTGAATACCAGCCTGGGCAACACAGCAAGACTCCATCTCTTAAAATAATAATAAAATGGGCCAGGCGCCGTGGCTCACGCCTGTAATCCCAGCACTTTGGGAGGCCGAGGTGGGCGGATCACGAGGTCGAGACCATCCTGGTCAACATGGTGAAACCCCGTCTCTACTAAAAGTACAAAAATTAGCTGGGCGTGGTGGCACCTGCCTGTAATCCCAGCTCGGGAGGCTGAGGCAGGAGAATTGCTTGAACCCAGGAGGTGGAGGTTGCGCCATTGCACTCCAGCCTGGGTAACGAGTGAAACTCCGTCTCAAAAAATAAATAAGGCCGGGCGCGGTGGCTCAAACCTGTAATCCCAGCACTTTGGGAGGCCGAGGCGGGTGGATCACGAGGTCGAGATTGAGACCATCCTGGTCATCATGGTGAAACCCCGTCTCTACTAAAAATACAAAAGCTGAGGCAGGAGAATTGCTTGAACCCAGGAGGCGGAGGTTGCGGTGAGCCGAGATCGCGCCATTGCACTCCAGCCTGGGTAACAAGAGCGAAACTCCGTCTCAAAATAAATAAATAAAATAAATAAAATAAAATAAAATAAAATAAAATAAAATAAAATAAAATAAAATAAAATGGTGACTTAATGGTTTATGATTATTTCTCAATTTAAAAATGGGGCAGGGCAATTCTCAGCAGTTAACTGCTGCAGTGAATGAGGCCATGCCTGAAGAGACCATGCAGCAGGCTGTCCACAGAATAGCCATTTTCTTTTTTTTTTTTTTTGAGACGGAGTTTCGCTTGTTACCCAGGCTGGAGTGCAAGGGCGCGATCTCGGCTCACCGCAACCTCCGCCTCCTGGGTTCAGGCAATTCTCTTGCCTCAGCCTCCTGAGTAGCTGGGATTACAGGCACGCGCCACCATGCCCAGCTAATTTTTTGTATTTTTAGTAGAGACGGGGTTTCACCGTGTTGACCAGGATGGTCTCAATCTCCTGACCTCGTGATCCACCCGCCTCAGCCTCCCAAAGTGCTGGGATTACAGGCTTGAGCCACCGCGCCCGGCCATTTTCTTCTTCTATTATCATCCCTCTTCTGCTTAATTCCAACAACCCTGACTGGTCTAAGCAGATTCTGTGGTTTCATTCCTCTTGTAATGATTGATTTAGGAGTGGACAGGCAATCCAGATCTGCCCAGTGAAACACAGGCTGCTGTGGGCTTGTGGGAGGAAATATTTATTTTTTTGAGATGGAGTTTCTCTCGTCACCCAGGCTGGAGTGCAGTGGCACAATCTCAGCTCACTGCCACCTCCACCTCCCAGGTTCAAGGGATTCTCCTGCCTCAGCCTCCTGAGCAGCTGGGATTACAAGTGCCCACCACCATGCCCGGCTAATTTTTTATATTTTTAGAACAGACAGGGTTTCACCATGTCGGACAGGCTGGTCTCGAACTCCTGATCTCAGGTGATCCGCCTCAGCCTCCTAAAGTGTTGGGATTACAGGTGTGAAACACTGCACCTGGCCAAAATATGTATGTGTGTATATATATATATATATATATATATATATAAAAACTTCAACAGATGAGATGTTTCTATGTTGTCCAGGCAGGCCTGGAAAGTGTAGCCACACCTCCTCATGTGCCAGGACAAGTGGCCTGAGCCACTGTGGCTTCCTTGTTATTCTTAGAGGAAAAACCAGTAGTCCTCTGGCCTCTTGCCATTGGTATGGCAAGTTATGATGCCTAGAGCAACTGACTTGAAGGTAATGTGGTTGGAGAACATGCCGAGGGTAGTAGAGCAGAAAGATGGGAAGATCCATCTGGGTCTCCACAGCTGCCCGACCCTCGGGACTTGATCAGGAGATGAGTCCTCTAGTTTGTGCTATTTTACTGTTCTTCTACTTAGAGCCCAAAGCATCATATGCAGGTTACTGGTGACTTTTCTCGAGATCTTAAGAACGGGCCTGGAGACAGGGCTGGCACTGGGCATGCTACTATGGGAGAATGGTCCTTACCACAATTTAATGTCTGGTTTGGTTTTAGGCCCAGCTACTTTCATGGTCCAGAGCCAGTTAAATCAGTATTTTCCAGGAAGGAAAAAAAAGAAAAAAACCCAAAAAGTTCAAGCTTACCCTACTCATCCTAATTATTTGGAAACAAGAGGACCAGAAAATAAAGACTATCAAGTTTAACCTCAGCCAGTTGCTTCACATCTGAATCTCACTCTCAACTGCAAAATGGGGCTATATCTGTTATCTCACGGGACTGACCCAAAGATTAAAGAACATCAGGCAGGGCTGCTGGTATAGCCCAGGGCTTGGCAGACTTGTCACCAACAAAGAACCCCAGCTCTATCAAATCCTGCAACCTCTGCTCAAATACCAGCCTACACTACCCCCTGACCACTCTAAGACATCTTTAGGTTTCCTCTGGAAGAGGACACCACTTCTAGATTAAAAATTACCTACCTACAACCTAGAATGACTTCAGTAATTATCAAAGTAAATGGCTGGTAAATGCCTAAATAGACAAATGTTACTTTATCCTGAATCTGTCAGAGGTGACTTGTCTACTTGAGGGTTGGAATCCTGACTCCGCTGCTCATCAGACGTACACATAACCTGAAATAAATTTCTTCATCTGTGCCTGCTTCCTCATCCATGAGTGATACTTATACAAACATCTCAATACTTGAGAGAGAATACACGAAAAACCTCATCAAGAGTTTAACAACTATACTTTTTTGACTAAGGGGATGGACATGGCAACTGCGGTCTCCAACTCACCTTTATTCCTGTCCAACAATACAGTCCCAAGGTCTGTAAAAGCAAATTCAACTTCCACGTTCTAACAAATAACTTCTTGCCATTTCACTTAAGAGAAAGGGGGTTTCTCCGCAGCAACTCCAAACTAAAGGAATCAGAAAAGACCCTATCATGTCTTTGTTTGCAGGTCTACTTAGGAGCAAAGTGTCATCTGCCTTACAAATGGCCAATTATGTGACACAGGGCCACTCTCCGACATAAGTCTATTAATCTGCTAATTTTATAGATTGCAGATGCAGATGGAAATAAGAGGCTCCTTGCTGTCAGCTACCAAGCCAAAACCTCAGATCTATCAAAAATCTGCACTTGATACACTTCATGCAGAGTTATGCAAAAACAAACATTGCAGGGAATGCTGCATAACGAAGTACAGAAATCACTTCCCTTCTCTCAGCCTTTCACCACCAGTAGGAAGGATACTCCTGGAATCCTCCCTAACTCCATCTAGCACTGTTTTAGAAACTGACTATAGGCTAAGGTGGGTGGATCACCTGAGGTTGGGAGTTCAAGACCAGCCTGACCAACATGATGAAAACCTGTCTTTAAAAAAAAAAAAAAAAAAAAAAGAAAGAAACTGACTATAAATTAGTGAAAGATCCTTAGATTGTATACGAAATACCTCAAAGCAGAACACACTCTCTTCCAAGAAACTTGGATAAACCAGGTTACCCCACTTGTGGGAAAAGATCAGAGGCAGCATTCCAAGCCAAACTGTATCCAGCTTTATTAAAGATACTTTCCATAAACAATCATGGTATTTCAGGCAGGACATGGGCAGACAATCATTAACAGTATACAACAACTTTCAAACTCCCTTCTTTGATGGACTACCAAAAATCAGAAAGCCACTATAAAACCCAATGAAGTCTTCATCTGATGCTCTGAACAGGGAAAGTTTAGAGTGAGGGTTGACATTTCACATTTAGCATGTTGTTTAACAACTTTTCACGAGCCGACCCTGACTTTCAGGAAGTGAAATGAAAATGGCAGAATTCATCTGAAGATCCACAATCTAGAAATGGAATCACTGCTTTTTGACAGGTGCCATCTCAGTGGCATCACTGGCAAGTCCAGATTGCCTGACACTGGTAACCAATGACTGGGAGTCAGGTCCCAACAGATGCCTGGGCTTAAGGGAGTTAAGTCTATGCTGAAAGACGGAAAGGGAGAAGAGGACATAAAAGCGAATTTGTGTTTCCATACCACAAGGCTTTTGTGTGCCAAGGTGGCCATGTGTGTCAAAGTCAGGGAATCCCTCCTCCTGGGAGCCAAGAGGAAGTCTCTCAAAACTAGAAGGGAAAGGCGTTTCCCCACATCAATCCAGCTTTGGAGACATTCTATTAGTGACATATGCCCCTTCCCCCAAAACAACAATGAAGTGTTCTGTGTGCTAACAACATAGCTTAAAAAAAAAAAAAAAAACAAAAAAGTAAAACAAAATTCTGCATTTTTATAAAACTTGATAAAAAATAGTATTTCAAACTGTACAGTCACCAGAAGTACACAGTTATCAAAAATGCACACACTTCACTTGGCATCTCCAGCACCTTCGGCTTTCTGTGCCTAAAAGAAAACAGACAAATTAGCGCAATGTGTAGATTTTGAAACTATCTTTGTTTACATTCCACCTACAGCATCATTTTGCTCCCAGGCCAAAGTTCAGGTTTCAGGTACTGAGACTGAGTATTTCTTCTGAGAATGACTTACTAAATAACTTTGCTAAGTCACCTCTCCTCTGGGCCTTACTGTAAAACTGGGGAAGGAGGAATACCAGAATTAGAGATCCGAGGTTACTCCTAGCTTGAAAACCTTACATAGTATAAAACATAGTGCCCTTCGGCTGACAGTAGAGACTGCAAGAATCCAGGATTTAAGTTAACAGGAAAGCCACAAGCAGACTCTGGACCACACAGTACATTTGGAGTGACAAAATAAAAGGGTAATTAAATCTTTGAAATCAGCAACTAAAAAGAGTGAAACAGCAGCTGTACCTGGTCTGTTTTGGCATCTCCATTTTCTGCAGGGTTATTCCCTTCTTTGCCAGCATCAGCTTTTCCCTTTTTCCCTTTGGGTACCTTCTCTCCCTTCTGAAAAAGGGGAAAAAATAGAACTGTTTCTCCCCATTTCTTATTTCCAGGGTATGGTCTGCAAAGTTCTGCACAAGGTAGGATTGTTTACTGAAGATAAAACACACACAAACCCTCGCCTGTTGACAAGAACCGATCAAAACTAGGTTAAATTATCCGTAACTCGCAATAATCTTTAATACTTAAAATTTCCTAAGTGTAAGTAACAGGATAAATCAGCTTAAACCCTAAAATATTTAATATTTAAAAATGCAGATGTTCCTACAAACTAATGACAGAGTTCTTCATCAGGAAACCAACGTTATGAATCCCTAGGATGAGGCAAGCTACTGACAGTTTGTAACCTCCATTAATGGTGGTACCATTATGCTAATTAAGTTAAGGCACTAAGGACAGTCCTAATTCTGTGAAAGTGATCAATTCCAATGTTAGCACTTACCTTTGCAGGGGCCTTTTTAGGCTTGGGCTCTGGCTTTGGAGGAGCAGGTTTCTTTTTTTGGCAGGAAGAGAGGAAAAAGTAAACATCAGTACAGTGGACCGAAGAAAACCACCCACGACCGATCAAGCAACCAAAAGGACCAGGGTACAACCAAAGTACCAAGGGTAGAGAAGTTTCTCCTCAAGTTTTTGTGGCTGGCTTTCTTTTAGAATGTTGGATCTCCAGAAGCCCACTCAAATGTCCCACTTTGGCCAACAGCCATCAGAATTTCAAAACCAGCAAACCCCAAAGGGGCAAGAGTCCCAAGAGGCGATCATTCAAAATCAGGAACTAACCATAATTCATGGGAAGCAAAGGTTTTTTTTTTTTTGATATTTAGTTTCAGGAACAAATACGAAAATTCAAAGCATACACTTACAGCAGACAACCTCGCGGATCTTCTCTGTGGCTATGAAAGACAACGAGAAAGTTAGAAATAGGACAAGTAAATCGCTTTGAAATTTTGGTATCAATTTGCTCTGGATTACGGGAGTGTAAATTCAGGACACAGGTTACGGTTAAGCATCGAGTCCAGTGGCCTCTGCTACTCAAGGTTTGGACCCTTAAAGAGAGAATGACTTACTTCGTCCTTCACCTTGGCTTTATCTCCTTTAGCATCCCCTTCAGCCTATAAGAAACAAGAACAAAAAACCGCAACTTTTGAGGTGATCCTTAGTTATTTCCTGAACTTCAGAGCCCTAACAAGACTAAAGCAGTCGTCCACACAACTTTTCTGGGACATAAACAAACGAGTGAGCCCTCTGTTCGTATTAAGACCGAAAAGCGCGCGGGAGCCGATCCCGTGAAGCCAGGGCTGAGCCGGAACGCGGCCGGGAAGGGCAGCCGAACCCGCACCACCGCGCCAGGCAGAAGCAACAGCTGCAGATGGCGCAAACAAACCCCCTCCGGAGGCGGAGCCCAGCGCCGTTGCCATGGCAGCCGTCGAGGGCGGGAGAGGGAGGCGCGCGCAGCCCGGGGAACTCGTAGGCGGCGGCAGCGCGCGTCTCGTGCGCCGGGAACGTGGGAGAGGGGCGGGGCCACACAGCACAAGCCCCGCCCCGAGGGAGAGAGGCCCCGCCCCCTCACGGCGGCAGTTTTTTGGCGGCAGCAAGTTCCCCCGCCCGCCAACCCCGAGCGCCGCCTTCCCGCCCTTTCGGGTTTGAATTGCCCGCCCGCAGGGAGGGGAGGGAAGGGGCCCTGGCGATGGGGGAGGGGGCACGGGCGGGGGCGCCGAGCCCGAGGGGAGCGGGATAAACAGCCGCCAACATGGCTCCTCCCGCCGCGGCCGCCGCTCCTCCAATATGGCCTCTGGCGCCCGCGGGCAGCCGAGCTGCTGCTCAGGGTTAGCCCCGAGCCGCCCGGCATCGCCTCGAGCCCCCGCGCGGGGCGGCAGCGCTGGCTCCTGCCTGGCGCCGATTCTCGCGCCCTGCGCCAGGGAGGCGGTGGCAGTGGCGGCGGCGGTGGCAGTGGCGGCCCGGCGCCTGGGGCCCTCGCGCCACGTACCTTTCTCTTGGGCATGGTGGCGACGGCGGCGGGACGTAGGCGCTGAGCGCGGGATGCAGCGGCGCGTGGGCTTTGGTCGGTCCGGGGGTCGCTCTCGCCTCTTCTTCTTCACACTGCTCAGGCTCCGGGGGGTTTATAAAGTTTTTATAGCGCTGGGAGCCCCGGACCGGTTAGAACCGGATTTCACCTCCCGCCGCCGTTCATTGGCCCAGCTGGGGTCACGTGGGCGGGGTTTAAACTCACCTCCTCTGGAGGGAGTGAGGAGGGGGGTGTGGGGGGGCAGTGCGCGCGAGACGGCGGCGCGCCGAGGGGCTGGGGGGCGCAGTCGGGGAGGCGCGCGTGGAAGGCAGTAAATGAGGAGGGGTGCGCAAGTCGGCGGGCTCTGGGTTCCGGCTCCCGCCAAGAGCTGGCTTTTGCAAACTAGCAAGTTCCTTCCACCTTATGCAACCCAGCAACCCACTTCTCCAAGCCGTGCGACACTCAGGGCACATTTCAGCGGCTTTCCTTCCTGCTCCCGCTGGGGGCCCCAGAAGAGGGGTTTGCGAGGCCTGGCTGCACTGCCTTGCTCCACTGGAGACAGGAGAAAGCGCGCGGCTGGAGGAACAGGCTGCAGTTCCCAGGGACCAGGCTGATGCCGAAGTGGAAAAAAGGCGGGGAAGCCAGCTTTGCGCAGCCGGACGTGCATCCTTCCGAGCTGCCACTTCGGGAGAGCAGTTCGTGCACCTCACCTGAAAAAGCGTCCACTCGAGGTGGGCTAGGGGTTTCAGGCGGAGACTTTCCATGCGGAGGTGCCTTTTGGGTGCTGTGGGGCAGGTAGGAGCTGTCCTTTCAGCACCCGTTGCGCAGCCGCCTCCCCAAATGCTATCGAAGCCCCCATCCCCTAACGCCTGTCGGGTGGTTCCCTTAAGGTCCCTGTATTCTCAAACCTCCAGACTCCGCCACAGAATGGTGGAGAGCGGCCGCGAAGGTCTACCGGCACTCCCCTCCCCCTACACTCTACCCATCTCGGAGACATTTAGCCCAGCTGTCCCCACCCGACGCGGCCACCAAGCCTGGGCACTGCAGTCGCAGCTGGCGAAATCCCTCCTTCCATACTGTCAAGCTGGCTGCCTTTCACTTGCGCGAGGAAAAGGAGGATGGAGGAAAGCGCCCGGGGATTAGGAAACAAGTAGAGGAACAGGTGGTGTGATGGCAAAAGGGCTTTTCCAGTGCCCCCTAGTCCAAAGCCAGAGTCTTGGGAGCTAGCCAGGCGCACCTGAGGGAGGGTAGGCAATTGCAGCAGCAAAACAAGGTGTTCTTCCGTTGCAGTTAGCAAACAAGTTTTACATCTAAGAATCTTAAAAAATTCTATTTGAGACCCAGAACACAGAAAATGGTAGATGTCCTCAAATGGGGGCTTGGCTCACAGGTGGAAGAACACTTAAATTGGTCCCATCTGATTTCTTGAGGCAAGGGTTGAACCTGCCTTATACAAATACCTGTTTAAAGCAACCACGAGTTCAACTATTTTGCAGCTCGTGTTTCTGGGCTACGACGACCTCTTCGCCTCTTCTTTCCACCCCTACATCACCTCCTGGGGCAGCTTCTCCCTACTCCACCCTGTGTACCTTTCCCAGAATAGAGAACCTCAGGCCAAAGAGAGATGCCAGCCCCATTAATCACCTCTACTGTACCCCAATCATATTACGGAAAGTCAGACCCAGGAGACAGGACTCAACAGCCATACTCAGGGCAGATTCCGTTTGCTGCCTCCAGCCCCTCATTCCCGCCTTAATTGTAGGGCTCTGCATTATAGCCGCATAATTCATGCCTCCCTAATTATGGCTGTCAACAGCCCCATTGTAAAGATGGAAAATGTACAGCACCTGCTTTCCAGGAACTTTGTGCCAGGGATTGGTAGTGGGGAGTGCCAGGTGTGGATGGGGGCTTGCCAGAGGGTACATTGATTGGCTACTCAATCGCAGTGTCTGGCATTTATGTTTGATTATGGGAGCATGGACAATAACCAAGGGGTCTCTTGCCGCCAGGTATCCCAGTACTGAAAAGGGAAGAGGGGGGCTGGGATATAGGAAAGTTAGGGGTTTGGTGTATGCTCGCACTGCCGCCTGCAAGATTCCACCTCTCCCCTAGAGGGAGCTGGTAGGGAAAGAGCTTGCAGAAAGTAAAATGGGAAACCTGGCACGGTGGCTCATGCCTGTAATCCCAGCACTTTGGGAGGCTGAGGCCAGTGGATTACCTGAGGTCAGGAGTTCGAGACTAGCCAGGACAGAGTGAGACTCCACCTCAAAAAAAAAAAAAAAAAAAAGAGAAAGAAAAAAAAAAGAAAAAGTAAAACGGACTTTACTAAACAGAGTAGCATTTGGTTGGTGTTGCTGGCTGGTACTTGTCAGTCTGGGGCACCTGAAACAGAGTTGCTCAGGCAGACAGCTCTTCAAAGGCACTAATTCTCTCAGCGGCTCTGCAGCAAGGCCTGGCAGAGGGAGGTAAGGGAAAGGACACAGCTTTGACCCTCACAGAGAGGACCTAGAACATGCTTTGCCATGCTGAGAATAAATCATCTCAGGGCCTACTTAGGGAGCCAGGTCAAAAAGCTGAGAGAAACCTCGAAGACTGAAGTAGGAATCAGAGTTTGAGATGGTGAGGGTGGGGAGCAGTCAGCTAGAAGTGCTTGGTTCTGCTCAGTCCTGTTATGTTACAGGGAGAAGGCCTGTGCTGGATTTGATTCACCAGGGCCTACAGGCCCTTCTGTTACCCTGTACCATGGAGGGGGCCAGTCTCTCTTGGGAGTGGAGCCTGGCCCTATGCCCTGCAAGAGGAGGAGAAAAGCTTGTGTGGGCTGAGTCGACAATAGGTAATTGGATTGTAATCACCCGCCTGGCTTCCGCACACCATTGGGGGCGCTCAGTCTTTCAGTGAGCAATCAGCACTTTGTGGTGGGAGGGGGTAGAGATTCAATAGCAAATCCCAGGTGGAGAGCCAAAGGGGAGGAGCAGCAGATGGGCAAATTTTCCTTCTGTCTCTCCCGCCCACTTTTTCCTTACCCAAATAACTGGCTTCCTATTAGTTATTTACTAGCAGATCCAAGGTACAGCCAAATCTTTTGTGGAAGTTGGGTGGAAGGCTAAAAATGGATGGGTAAAGAGCTAGGGTTTGGGGGAGAACTCTTCCCTGAAATTCTGTGTTGAAGGATGTGCTGGTGGAAAAAGAAAGTGCATCTAGGAGACAGGCAGCTGAGTTGTGGCCCTTTGCTCTCCAAGCCTATTGGTGACCAGAGCCTGGTTTAGTGTACTCGTGGGAGACTTTTACCCTCAATCTTCCCCAGGAGCCACTGTCCCAGGCAGCCCAAAGGTATCTATGGACAGCAGACCTGGCCTGGAGGGCTCCCTGGCTAAGCAAAGGGAACACAACTCATTATCAGGAAAGGAGGTGCCTTTCACCAAGAAAAGGAAGGGGAGTGGGGCCCTGGAGGCAGAGGGCAGGGCAGAGTGGCAGGTGGCCAGCTTCACTCAGGCTGATGCAGTGCCCAGACGTGCCAGCCAGTCAGCTCGCTTGAGTTCCAAGGCCTGCAGGAAGCCTTGGACTCGCTCTTCCCGTCTGGCCGAGAGTTTGTGCAAGCGTGTCCTTCGGAGCTGGGCGTCCCCACTGGCTTGGAGGCCCTCTTGCTGCAGCTGCTCTGTCACTGTAGCCTGGTCCCTCTCCAGCTGCTGCCTCTTCCGCTCCTCTGCATACATGTCTCGGGCCTTCTGCTAGAGAAAAGTGGGGATTGGGTGGGGATGTCATTTTTAGGTGTGGGTGAAACTGGGATGGAGGAGGTAGGGGGTAGGGCATCAGGTGGGCCAAGTGGCCTGAAACAGTGGAAAGTACCAGATTTGAAAAGGCTTGGGAGTAGGTATCCAGTGGGTGGTGCTCATGTTGTACAGGCAGGGCAGTGGCAATTCTGGGTCCATCTTGGTTTGCTTTGTGTGGAAACATCTGTATTTCTTAAAGTTTTTCTCATGCACTTGGAAGGGAACCAAGCAAACGTGGGTCTGACTTCTGATTTCTCCATCAACTGGCTTTGTGGCTTTGGGCAAATCCTGTCCTAACCTCATTTCTTCATCTGTAAAGTGGGGGTTGTGCCTACCTTGAAGAGTGGTTTTAAGGATTAGCGATAATATATGCAAAATCCTCTCTAGCATATTAGCAGGCTCTTAGAAACAGCATTTTTACAAGTTGTTATTGTCTGTTCTCTGCTGCAAGAAAGGTCCTATTCTTGTCTGAGGCATATCCATTGGGTCACTTCCTTTGATCTCCCCAGGTTTTCCTCTGAGGGTACCATCCTCCCAACTCCCTAGGCTATTTTTCAGAGCTCCAGACTTGCCTCCTGTATGAAGACCAGCCTGATCCTTCCAGTCCTCCTAAGAATATTCTGAGAAACAGGTTCAACTCTCTTAAGCCACTTATTGCATTCTGCATAGTAGAGTGTTAGTGTCCATAGTCCACTCTTTCTGTTGGAAAATAAGCCCTTGGAGGTTTGAGAGCCTCCAGGCCTCTTAGAACCAGCTCTGACACCAGGTGGTGATCATACTCCCTGGCAGCACTTACCACCCTAAGTGCTACAGAGCAGGTACAGGGCGCTTCTTCCTCTCTAGTACATGTATAGGGTGCCCTATACATGTGAAACACTCAACTTACTAACCACATGAGAGCGGTGAGGATACTCCTGACACAGGAGAGGGGAAAATCCTTTTGGAGCAGAATCAAGGCTTTCCTATGCCTTGCGGATCCTCTCTGTTTCTGCCAGTCTAACTGACCTGCAAAGCCTTTGCACCAGAGCTCCTCCTGCCAAACCTATTCCATGTATGAGAAACTCCATTTACCTATGGTATCCTATACCCTGATGATCCTTCCCACGTTCTACCTTGTATTTCAGTAAACCTGTATACATGTTTTTGTCCTAATCAGCCTGTAAGCACCTTGACTGCTCTGTCTTCATGATTTAAAGAATATCTTACATGTGCACAAGCACTTCATTTGTTGCCTCACTTGACCCTCACAATGAAGCTGTGAAGGAGGTACTTTCTGCTGGAGACAGACATGGAGCAGGGAAGTGATTTGCTGTCTCTCACCAATAACGGTTTACTGCATGAATAAGGATGACAAATGAGAATTCTGGACTATTTCCCCCTCTCCACTCTTGAACAATCCCAGGCATTCATGGGT